AGCTACCGCGCTATGATAAGCGGAGATGGCGGCCACGTAAACCTTGAGAGTGGAGGGCGACAGCCTGCTGTCCAACTTCTCTTGAAGGAAAGAGAGCACAACACTAATCTGGCAATTTCGGGGGTCTTCTCTGCGAGAGACGCACCATTCAGTGAATAGACTCCACTTCAGGGCGTAGGCGCGCCTCGTGGAGGGGGCTCTAGCCTGAGTGATGGTATTAACCACCGCAGTCGGTAGGTTACCTAAGTCTTCCTCGCGTCCAGGGACCACACGTGGAGGTTCCAAAGATCGGGGCGAGGGTGCCAGATGGTGCCCTGTCCCTGAGAGAGTAGGTCCTCTCTCAAAGGGATCCGCCAGGGGAGGGCCGTCGCGAGGAGTGAGAGCTCTGATATCCAGGTCCGGTTGGGCCAAAGGGGCGCAACTAGCAGAACCTGTTCCTCGTCCTCCCTGACCTTGCACAGAAACTGCGCGAGCAGGCTCACTGGGGGAAACGCATACTTGCGCATGCCCCGAGGCCAGCTGTGGGCCAGTGCATCCGTGCCGAGAGAGCCCTCGGTCAGGGAAAAAAACAACTGGCAGTGAGCGTTCTCGGGGGAAGCAAACAGATCGATCTGGGCCTCCCCGAATCGCGCCCATATCAGCTGAACAGACTCGGGGTGGAGTCTCCATTCTCCAGGGCGTAACAGCTGTCGTGAGAGCGCATCGGCTGCACGATTGAGCGTGCCTGGGACGTGAATGGCGCGCAGCGATTTCAGCCGCGGGTGACTCCAGAGGAGCAGACGGCGGGCGAGCTGAGACATGCGGCGAGAGCGCATACCCCCCATGCGGTTGATATACGCCGCCGCCGCCGTACTGTCCGTCCTGACCAGCACGTGTTGCCGCTCCAGCACCGTGACGGCGGCTGCGGATGCCATATGCCCCAGGAGCCTCTGAAAGAACTTCAGTGGGACCACTAGTTTGCTGTCGAGCTCCCTCAGACAGTTCAGCAACAGGCGAGCGCGTTCCTCGGAGAGGTGCGCTACCATGGTGATCGAGTCCAGCTCCATCCCGAGAAAAGAAATCCTCTGCACGGGGGCGAGTTTGCTCTTTTCTCGGTTGACCTGAAGCCCCAGTAGGCGGAGATGCCGAAGCACCTCGTCCCTGTGCATAATCAATTGCTCCCGCGAGTGGGCTAAATCAGCCAGTCGTCGAGATAACCGAGTATGCGAATGCCCGCGAGCCGAAGGGGCGCTAGGGCACCCTCCGCGAGTTTGGTGAAGACCCGCGGAGACAGAGAGAGCTTGAAGGGGAGGACCTTGTACTGCCACGCTCGACCCTCGAACGCAAACCGCAGAAATTGGCGGTGGCGTGGAAGAATGGAGACATGGAAATACGCGTCCTTCAGGTCTATGGCTGCAAACCAATCCCGAGGACGAACGCATTGGAGAATGCGCCTCTGCGTGAGCATTCTGAACGGCAGCTTGTGCAGACAGCGGTTCAAAACGCGCAGATCTAGGATTGGCCGTGACCCACCGCTCTTTTTGGGTACAATGAAGTATGGGCTGTAAAACCCACTCTCCATCTCGGCTGGAGGAACCAGCTCGATTGCACCCTTCGCCAGGAGGGCAGCAATCTCCTCTCGCAAGACAGGGGCGGACAGGGGGTTGACCCTGGAGAAATACACGCCCGTAAACTTGGGGGGCCGTTTCGCGAACTGAATTGCGTAACCGAGTCTGATTGTGCGTATGAGCCACCGCGAGGGGCTGGCCCGCGCTAACCAGGCAGGCAGAGCCCTCGCTAATGGAGTCATCGCTACAATCGCTGACGTACCAGCGGTGGGGCAGCGCGGAGTGGGTGTGCTGATCCGGGAAGCACGAGGGTCCCGCGGAAGAGCTGGAGGAGAGCGATTCGCTCTGGCTCCGCACCCTGACTCCGGAGAGGGGGCTGGAGGGCTGAGGGAAGGGAGACCGTCCCCCCAGCGCTCGTGAGCCACTGGCGAAGCACGTAGAGTCTGCGAGCCGGAAGGCAGCGCGTCCCGGACTGGCAGAACTCGTGCAGTCACATCCGGGGAAGGGAAAAAGTGCTCTTTTACTGATGTTTTGGTGGCACTGAAAAGTACCGTTGTTATCGGGGCCCCGCCCTCCAGCGGGGAAAGAGCAAGTTTCCTCTTCTCCGGATGGCCTGTCTCAGGGACGCTTCGCGGTCCGTTTACCGGACTTAACGGCGCCCTGGGCAGGAGGGGCTGCCTGCTTTCGAGGTGAACGCCGCGCCCGCGCCCTCGGCGAGGAACAGCGGAGGTGGATGGCTCGGCGGGCGGAGCGGGCTTACGGCCACGCCGATAGATGACATTGCCCATCGCATCCGACTGCTCTTTCACCGCCTTGATTTCCTGGGTGAATTCACCGACGGTGTCGCCGAGCAGGCCAGCCTGGGATATGGGCGAGTCAAGAAAGCGAACTTTGTCAACGTCGCGCATATCGGCCAGGTTTAGCCAGAGGTGGCGTTCCTGAACCACAAGTGTGGACATCGTCCTCCCCAGCGCACACGCGGCGGACTTAGTAGTCCGAAGAGCATAGTCGGTCGCGGTGCGCAGCTCATGTAATAAGCTTGGGTTGGACCCGCCCTCGTGCAGCTCGGCCAGCGCCTGCGCTTGGTAGCGCTGGTAGGTGGCCATCGCGTGCAAAGCAGAAGCAGCCTGGCCCGCAGCCTTATAAGCTCTGGCTCCGAGGGAGGCAGACAACCTACAGGCTTTGGACGGGAGGCGGGGCAAACCCCGCCACGTAGAGGCGCCGCGCGGACAAAGATTGACCGCGATAGCGCGCTCCACTGACGGGATCGCCTCATACCCCCTGGCAGCTCCGCCGTCAAGGGCGGTGAGGGCGGAGGCACTCGCAGCACGGGCAGAGAAAGGTGCCCTCCAGGACTGCGTGAGCCTACTGTGCACTTCCGGGAAGAAGGGGACGAGAGGCTTCGAAGGCTTCGCCTTCTGGTCCTCTACGTAGCACCCATCTAGTCAGTCCGGCCGCGGAGCTGGGGGATAAACCATCTCCAACCCCACGGCCGAAGCAGCCCGGGAAAGCACGGCTAACATGTCCGCTTCAGGATCCGATTTGACAGCGCTCACCTGCCCGGAGGGGGCGAGCGGGTCCGGATCTTCGTCGGACAGTGAAAGCCCACCCTCCGATGCCGCGGAGGACATCTGATCTCCGGTGTCAGCGAGTGTGAGAGCTACCATCTGGTTAGACGGATCACTCTCACCACCCGAAGCTTGGATGGAGCGCCGTGAGGAGCGAGAGGTCCGCGAGCCCGTGGGCGGCGGATTAGCTCCCGCTGAAACCCTCAGATCTGCCCGAGCGCCCGCTGCTTTTTTAGAGCAGGAGGCAACTGGGGTGGCTCGCTCTCTTGCGAAAGTTAGCCGCGATCTTAGCTGTGCAACGGTCATGGCATCGCAATGACGACATGAACCGCCCGCGAGCACCGCATTAACATGCTGGACCCCCAAACATGCAATGCAGTGATCGTGTCCATCATCCGGAGACAGGAAACCCCCGCATCCAGAAACGCACAGTCGGAGCGCCATCCTGAAAAGGACGTGCTGCACGACTGTGTTGCTCTTTTAGGAAAGTTGCAACTATACGCACCGCTCTGGAGGACCGGACCCAAAGAACCGCAGGCAAGGGAGTAACCCAGCTCGACCGTCTGCCACCGCGAAGACCCACTCTGGACCGGGAGACACACTCGTTCGCTCTGAAGTGCTGATCAGCAAGAGGAACCCTCATCGACTCACTCAGAAAGGATCTGAAGATGTCGCACACCTGCGCAAGCTTACGCTGCCAATTAATTTCATTCATTGGCCCGTTCAATACTCTCCAGATAAGCGGCTTCTGATCCGAATCCTCCCATTCATGGCACTGAAGTTCCCCAACCGAAGGGGAACTGAGCATTTCACTAGCAAACAGTTAGCAGTTTTTTTTTTACAGAAAATAGTTAAACAGAGCATCTACTGCGTGAGAATGAGAGATTAATGATCTACTTTCACATTCGCTTGTGGATAGGGAAACCTTTATGCACAGACATCAATTAGTCTATAAATAATTTATTTTGTTTGTTAAGCGCAAAGATTTGTTTCAAAACTCTTTCTAAATTCAGTTCTAATTTCCAGCAAACAAATAAATGAATAACAATAACAAAGTGTGCTCAAAAACCTAAATTATATCCTAAAACATTAAGAGCCTCTGAACTCTTAATCCGGGCCTGATATCTGGCTATATTAAACAGTCTGAAACAGGTCTAATAATAGCTGGAAACGTGGCTAACGGGGAGTTTGGTGTAAGATCACTTTCATTAGGCTAACACACCCAATATTGAACATTAATCATTAAACACTTTAAAAAGAGCCACAGATAATAATAGTGTACATGTGTATATGTGAGACAGTTAAGAGTGTTATAGTGAAATGACAACAGCTTTCATTCTGTACGATTAGCTTGTCTGTATGAGAATGTTTCATTAATCACACATGAACATGGTCATGGATTGATGTTTACGCTCATATCTGCGCTCGTTTCTACATTGCATTAATAAATGAGGCCCGTTGTGTTTGCATCTCTGTCTCTCTGTTCTGGGGATTATAGTTTTGCCATGTCTGCCATCTTGTTCCTTGGATTATTCTAAGTCTGCTCTGATCTTCACCTTGTCTTTGGGAATTTTATTGAATAGATGCTGAACATCAATCCTCTGGTTTGTGACTAATAACTGTATATGACAAAGAGGATATTTCACTACCAGAGTGTTTTCAGGTGCATTATCTAAAGTCATAAACAGCAGATAAATGTGTAATGGTCAGATATTTGTCCTTATCAGGAGTATAGATGAAGACATTCAGAAGAGTCTGAACATGATATAACACTGCTCTTGTGTTTCTTATCTATCGAGCCTTTAAAGTGTTGTGTAAATATAATAAAATGTTCTAACAAATCCTAAAAGTCCATAATTGAGCAGTAATGTACAACACAACATACCTTTGTGCAGATGATGGTGTTTCCTCACTGAAGTTTGGTGGATGACCTTCTTTAGAGCAGTCACTCTTCAGAGACACAGAGCTGGACACACATGATCCTGATCTCACACTGAACACACAAACACACCAGAGGAATAAACTGCAGGACAAACTTCAGTCTCCTTTACAAGAGTTTATCAGACAAATATGAGTTTGTTCAGTTTAATTCAGCACAAACTAATAGTTGACTGAAGGTCTGTCTGATCAGGTCACCAGATCGAGCTGTCTGTAATCTAGAATGATCTAAACACATTTGCTGAAGCTGTAAACTGAAGCTTTGTCCATCATTTGATCAGGCAATAGCAACACAAATAAGTGCATTGTTGTTGGTCTTTGTTGTTAAGAGAAAGTGTTGAAATAATGGTGTAAAAACAGAGTCAATACCTGTGTTTCTCTGAGAGAGAGTCCTTTACTCGCTCCTCTGCCATACTGCAGCTAAAACACCAATGCAGACATTAGCAGAGCTTTCAGGAAACAATCAGCCGCTGACCATCACCTGGAGATGACAATATACTGAGATGAAGAACAGCACACTTTATAGCAATCAATGCTCACTTCACTAACAACACCGCACTCAAACAGACCCGATAGTCATGTCACAGCATTCACATGCAGAAATAAAAAAAAAAAAAAATATATATATATATATATATATATATATATATATATATATATATATATATATATATATATATATATATATATATACACACACACACACACACACACACACACACACACGCAGGGCTTGACATTAACTGTTTTCATCACCAGCCACTTTGGCTAGTAGATCTCCAACATTACTAGCCATTCACCATGTTCACTAGCCATGATTTTGTTGTAGGATAATATATTTTAAATGCATAAATCTGACTTTGACATGCTGAAATGACTTGATCTAGATTGTGTGTGATGTCCACATGCATTTCACTGTTCTCTGTGTTGTGTATGACCTTGCTTGATGTGCGTGAGCAAATGGGTTGTAGTGTAGCACCAGGCCCAGATTGGCTAATCGGGAGAATTCCCGGTGGGCCGGTATGTTTTTTGGCCGAGGGCCGGTGTCTCTAGCTGCTCGCACTCTCAGCAGTCGCACTTTTTTTCATTTGTTTATTTATTTGAGCATCACCTCACTCTTTTATTCATTATTTTGCTGCAGCTCTGCTCTTATTCTTTATTTTCTCGCAGCCCCATGGGGAAAATGCAGCCTGCAGGTTAATGACGTAACATCATTCCACCCCAAACAGCGGCACCTCAGTGAAAGACTTTGAATAATTATTATTAATGAATATTACACTTGCTCAATGAAGATCTGCTGGTTCACTAGATTACAGTGTTTCTCCATTGGTTTGACTTTTTTCTTGAAACAGAAATGACATTCTCAAAACTCTAAGATCATTTGGCAAAACACTACAGCTCACTTACAAAAGCTCATATCTTTCTCAAAACAGTTCACTCGTGTGTCAAAACTAAATGATCTTCTCATTTAAACAGTCAGTGCCCCAAAAACACTTCGTCCCTTCAGCATTGTGTGAGCACTGCAAGTCAAAATGTTCAGATGTTCGGTCATCATGGCAAAGCACCACTAAAACATCCCTCATGTCCACCTCACAGTCTCAGCCCAGTCCTTCACTGACAATGCTTACTGTACTGTTTCTGTCCAGCCGACAATGTTTAAAACTGAAAACAGAAACAGGATATTAGGGTACGAGTAGCCTCCAAGGTTTGATGTCATTGCACTCATACTGCCAGGGAAACGGTCACTCCTTTATTATTTTAATGATCAAGCACACACAAAGCATCTTCCATATATCAGAGCAAAAAGAGTAGAGAGCTGTAATAAACTGTCATCAAATGCTCCAAGCATTCACCTGCTGTATGGTGTTCATGCTGTTATGGTCTTGACTGATTTGGACAATTGAACAGACTATTGTGCATGTGATGACTTATACAGTGTAATAATCATGACACGTTTTGGAGAGAAAGACCATTAGACTGAGAATTACAAATCAGTTTAGATCAACTAGATCTCTTCACTTGGAAACTGTCGGCTATCTGTACTTAATCATGTGCAAAGATGAACTTAGACATTTGCAATTTGATGAAATGAATGAGAAATTCAGCTCTGCTGTGAACAATTGCCAAGTGGTTTGGAGGTTTGTCCATGTTGTTTTGAGAATGTAATTCCTGTTTCAGGAAATGAGCCAAACCAAAGGAGAAAAACTGAAATAAATCTGACATACCTTGATCAGAAATCTAAAAAGGAGAGTAAATGCTGAAGCCATTGTGGTCCAGTGGTCAGCACGTTTCATTATGATGCCGCTGACCGGAGTTCAAACATCACCAGAGTCATTTATTTTCATTTTTATTGCTAAGACATGTAATACTGTTTGGGTTACTTATATAGGTGTACATATTTTATTTTTTGTGTGACCACCGTTATAAAGGACTGGATATCTATAAAGAGTTCAGCACAGAATATATATTCAGATATTGCAGGAAAGGACGTTGTGCTGTTGTAAAGAATAGTGTTGGAGATTTAGCTCCCCTTTAATCTTAAAAGCAGCTGTGTCCTTGAAAAGACGTGATCGTGTCATTAGAAACTGAACTGGAAATGACCTGATTTTAATATAGTCAGTCGTGAACTGAGGTGGGCCGGTCTAAGGCTTGAAACTCAGGGCTGTAAAGGAGTCCCACTCCGGCCTTGTGTAGCACTGCAATTAGTTTCTATTATACGTGACTTTACAGGACTCAAAATTAAGCACTTACCAAATGTATCTCTTACCACAACAAAAATAATTATTTCTTAGCCATAAATTTAAAATAATGTGTCAAAACAAGCTCAATATAGCTGTAAACATGCTCTTTTTATTTAACAAAACTTTTCTTTAATTGTCCAGGCTAAAGGTCCCAGATCACCAGTTAACCTAACAGCGAGTTAATCTCCTATTATATATATATATATATATATATATATATATATATATATATATATATATATATATATATATATATATATATATGTCTTGCGTTCCTAAGTAACCAATCAGCTGGGTGCTGCGGAGTGCGCGCCTCTTTGCGCAGGCTTCACTCATGGGGAACAAATAGCATTTTAAAGACATGGCACAACATTGCACCTCGTCCAAAGTGCGACAGGCTTTACACTTTGCATTGTACAAATATCAGACGGTCCTTTTTGCAGTATGGCAAATAAACATATTAAAATTGTAAAGCAAAATGTGCTGCAATAACAATGAATGGAGCTGTCAACACATCAGCGAGTTCTAAGAGTTTCACTCCTGTTACACTAATGACAGCTGGATGAGCTCTGCAGTGGACCTCTTACTCACATTGGTTCATAACTGGATGATTAAAAAAACTAAATTGTATACACCCTGAGTAAAACCACTATAGCCTATAAAAATTATAATGTATCTATTTGTGTTATGTTATAGAGCTAATTAATTATTAAATATTAAAATGTATTAGTACTCTGTATTTAATGGAACTCAACATATCTGATCAAATTTTAATACTCTAAATATAAATGCATTTTTTTCAAGATGTTCCACTTTTTTCCCATATTTATTTGTGTAATTTAAATGTAATGTTCAGTATTATTATTAATAGAACAAACTGGTATGAACATTTTAAAGTCAGCAAAGCTTCTAAAATTAAGCAAAGTAAAACTTGTGGCTCTTTGAACTTGAATACCCAATTCTAGATTGCATTTAGGAAATTTTTTTTTTATCAGTGTAAGTCAGGATTTTGACCTGAGTAAATTATAATGTGCACAAAAAAAGGAATAAAAATAAACAAAACACACTGAACCACTACAGCCTCTGTTGTAGTATTGCTAGTTACAACAGTACAGTTAACTGTTAACAGGCTGATGAATGACAAAACTCTTTAAAACTTTAAAGCTTTAAATCTTTAGATACATTTAGACTCTCAGCTGTAAGGGTAAATACAGAAGAGTCTAGCTGTGCATAGGCTGAAAAAAAGCATAAAAATGGCATGTAATGACTCGAACACAAAATATGGCTTGATGGAATCCAGGGAAAGAAGACCACAATAAACACTGCGCATGAAGATTTGATCAATATATTGAAGCACTGAAACCATGTCAACTCAACTAACATCTTACAAAAATTAATCCAGATAATGAATAATATAAATTTATTGAATAATATATAATAATATAAATGTATTGAATAATACAATTTTAAAAAAATTAAGTACAGTTGTTAATTTGAGGGGGTGGTGTGATTTTTATTTTTTGGGGGTCCCCGAAAGAATTCGCCCAACACAAAGGGGCCCTCAGCTGAAAAAGTTTGAAAACCCCTGAGTTAATGCACTGAGAGTCAACAAGAACTAACAGAGAACAACTTTACTGTCATCAACTAACATGAACAGATCAATAAATACTGGAATAAATGTGTTTTTATTGTTCAGTTCAAGTCAAATCATGAAGAAGAAGAAGATCAGAAGAGCAGAAACAAACGTCACACTTCATTTCTCCTTTATTCATTGAGCTGCTGGATTTCTCTACAGTTGATTCAAGATTTGACAGAGATTCAGACAGGATTCAGACATTTCCATGTTCATCATGACATTCTAATATCAGCAGTGGATTTGACATTGACTTTTATTATTTGTGCTCAAACAACAGAGAAACAATGAAGAAGATCAACCTGTAGACAAGAATGAGCTGATCTGAACACAGCAGCATCCTGGAGGACACTTCATCAACATCAATGATGACACTGATGAAGACTGAGACACACACACACACACACACCACACAAATCACACGCACACACACACACACGCACACACACACACACACACACACACTCTCTCTCTCTATCTCTCTCACACACACACACACACACACACACACACACACACGCACGCACACACGCACGCACGCACAAAAACACACACACACCTCTCACACACACATACACAAACGCACTCTCCCTCTCGCTCTCTCTCTCACACACGCACGCACACACAGAAAGAGAGACACACACACACACACGCACATGGGCGCGCACAAAACACACACAGCAGT